ACAACTGAAGCTTTCAAAATTTGATGAAATTAATTTTATTTATAGTTTTATTTGCTGTTAAAAACAACTTTTTAGTTTGAGGTTATGTTAATGGGCCAAAAACCCTTAAGGGCAGGTCAAAGTCGATGCGATTTTCCCATTAAAGCTTTATGCATGAAAAAAAAGATTTACCAGCGGAACAGGGAAACGTTTCACAAAATTTTACTTGTTTCAGTTAAATATTTCGCTATTCTAATGAAACCATTCGCTGTTTCAGGTAAACCTTTTTTTCCGTGTGTAAAATTTGCATCTACTTTGACCTGCCCTTAAGAAGCTAAAAATTGTAGAAATAGAAAAATAATTTTTTTTTATCGACAGTTGGTAATTGCACGCGCATCGCCGTTTCCTAAAAATCGTCCTCAAGTCTATTCGATGTATATATTGTGGAATCAGCCTAAAAGACATGCGCGCACATAAGAGCACCTGCGCACTCGCAATCCATATTGATGCAAAGTGTACATTGGACATAGGTTCTTCAACTGCAAAGTCAAATGTTGATCATGCATACAGGCTTTTGTGTACATTGTATACGCGGGTACAGATGACGCGATCATATGTACGATGATAATATGTAATGCATGTCCTGCCGCTACTTCTCCAGAAGCTTTGAAGTCTCGTTAAAAAAAAAAAAAAAAAAACTATCATGCCTAGATATGTCTTTCAATTGTGGGAAAATCAAATAGTGCATAAATGGCAGAAAAATAATTCTGGGAAATATCTAAAATGTTTGTCAATTTGCCGCTTTTACACTTCGAAAAGAAAAAAAAAATGTTAGGTTATGTTTTGGTGAAACTATTACTAAACATAACCTAACATTTTTTCTAGTTTTAATTATCAAAATCAGTTTTGAATATGGATATAATAAGGACTTGTGAGTTGTATTTTCAAAAAAATCACAAACATAACCTAAAAAGAGGAGAGGGTCAATAAGACCGGTTTTTGGGGCCAAGCTCGGATTAAGATCAATATACCCTCATTCGTTTGTATAAGTGTACCTCTCATAAGACCATGTAGTAGTTTTTCCAAAATAATAATTTACTTGGATTTACCCAAGTACTTTTAAAATTGAATTTTACATGGGTTTTTGAAAATTGCAGCTTACAAGTCAATATTTTCAAAGTTCCTTTTGCGGTCGCACCGCCATATACTTTTCTAAAAACAGTAGGCATATTAGAGCTATAAAAATATGCAAAAAATATAATTTTTTTTGCGTGCGCTCTATTTCAAAATGGCGCTAGAATAAACACAGTAACAATATTGCCCAAGTACAAAAAAAACACATAATTCTTGTGAATATGAGCAATTATCAATGGATATTGGTATATAGTATAGTATTTGAGGTTGATGATTATGAATTTGATGTTAGTTTTTAAAAATTCAAAATGGCGGATCCAATATGGCGAATTTTTTATAAAAAATCGTTTGGATTCGCTTGAAACTTTTTACTCGGGGGTTTTTAAGGTCGCTGATTACGAATTTGATGTCAGTTTTTAAAAATTCAAAATGGCGGATCCAATATGGCGAATTTTTTTATAAAAAATCGTTTGGATTCGCTTGAAATTTTTTACTCGGGGGTTTTTAAGGTCGCTGATTACGAATTTGATGTCAGTTTTTAAAAATTCAAAGTAGCGGAACTAATATGGCGAATTTTTTTTTTGTTTTTGAGGTCGCTCATTACGAATTTGATGTCAGTTTTTAAAAATTCAAAATGGTGGATCCAATATGGCGGATGACATTTTTAAAAATTGATCAGATTCACTTGAAACTTTTTACTTGGGGGTTTTTGAGGTCGCTGATTACGAATTTGATGTCAGTTTTTAAAAATTCAAAGTAGCGGAACTTATATAGCGAATTTTTTATAAAAAATCGTTTGGATTCGCTTGAAACATTTTACTCGGGGGTTTTTAAGGTCGCTGATTACAAATTTGATGTCAGTTTTTAAAAATTCAAAATGGCGGATCCACTATGGCGGATATTTTTAAAAATTTATCAAATTCACTTAAAACTCTTTACTCGGGGGTTTTTGGGGTCGCTGATTACGAATTTGATGTCAGTTTTTAAAAATTCAAAGAAGCGGAACTAATATGGCGAATTTTTTTTTATAAAAAATCGTTTGGATTCGCTTGAAACTTATATTAATAGGGTTTAATAGGGTCACAAAAATTAGAAATATATTAATTCACTGGAAAATGAATAGACATTTTAGTAGTAATTAAAAAAAAAAACCTAGTTCCGCCCTTGCAAAAACATATTCTGGATGAAAAGGAAGTGTGGATGTGAACACGTGCGCGAGTATTTGTGTGCACCTGTGGGCACTTTAAAGCGCGCTGTAAACGGTAGTCCGCAGCTAGATTGAATGGCCTGATAGACGTTCACTTCTCCTAAAAGGATCGACTCGATCACGATCATCGAGTATAAGTTATACACTGTGCTCGAATCTGGAAAGGCTTTAATCAACCGTTGACTAATTACACTCGATTAATTAGAGAGTAATGGGTATAACGTTTTAGGCTCATCCACTTATTTTGTCTCTCAATTTTTCAAATTAAAAAAATTTATTGTAAATAATTATAATCAATAATTTAAAAAAAAGTGCAAATTGTTTCAAATTTTAAAAAAAATTATTTTTTATGCAAGAGAATAAATAGGAAAATTTGTGGTGTTTAAAATGTTAGTATAGAGAGGGATTGATACAATGAAAAACTTGGCAGAGGCATTTTCTGTCCGGATTCTTCTTTCTCAGGATGAGTATAAAGTATGTATATATATATATATGCGCACTGAGAGGTCACCTAAAGGTTCACGAGTAAAAGAGCGGCCGCGAGGACAAAGGAACGTGGCGACGCCCCGCTGCCCTGTAGGTGCATCTCGATATCATCTACCTGTGTTTCTCTGCTTTATGTTTATGCTCATTAGTCCAGTCAAATAGAACATTTTTACTCGCAAAAATTCCAACATGGAAAATTTTTTTTTTAATCGAAGGGGGATAAGTTCCAATGCTTAAATCCGAGTTTTCGACCTCGGGGGGTGGTAACTTTTTCCGCCATATTGAAAAAAGGGGTGATTTTTTGTTTTGCAAATATCTTGCAAAATATGGTTAATATGAAAAAAATTGTAATGAACAATTTCATGGAGAATAAAATTATCTACAATATTTGTACAGAAAATTTTTTAAAAAAATTATTATTTTCAAAGTTATGTTGAAAAATGTTGTTAATTTGGAGGGTGGAAAATTGCATTTTTGCAATTTCAGCGAACCTGACGCAAATTATGAAAAATTTTCCCTAATAAAACTTAAAGAACCAAGAAAAATAAGCAACTTTTATTTAAACATTTTTTTGATTCATTAATTTGGTACGCGTGCGGAACGCTGCAGATTGCGCAATACCGGGTGTACACTATGTACACTCGCGTTGTACCATACACATATAAATCAACTTTAGACTATATATTAATTCCAACATAGAAAATTTTTTTTTTAATCGAAGGGGGATAAGTTCCCATGCTTAAATCCGAGTTTTCGACCTCGGGGGGTGGTAACTTTTTCCGCCATATTGAAAAAAGGGGTGATTTTTTGTTTTGCAAATATCTTGCAAAATATGGTTAATATAAAAAAAATTGTAATGAACAATTTCATAGAGAATAGAATTCTCCACAAAATTTGTAGAAAAAGTTTTTTTAAAAAATTATTATTTTTAAAGTTATGTTGAAAAATGTTTTTAATTTGGAGGGTGGAAAATTGCATTTTTGCAATTTCAGCGAACCTGATGCAAATTATGAAAAATTTTCCCTAATAAAACTTAAAGAGCCAAGTAAAATAAGCAACTTTTATTTAAACATTTTCTTGATTCATTAATTTGGTACGCGTGCGGAACGTTGCAAATTGCGCAATACCGGGTGTACACTATGTACACTCGCGTTGTACTATACACATAAAAAAGGGGTTAAATTTTGTTATACAATTATCTTGTAAAATATGGTCAATACGAAAAAAATTATAAATAACAATTTTCTAGGGAATAAAAATCTGCACAACATTTATAGAGAAAATTTTTTTAAAAAATAATCATTTTCCATGTTATTTTCTAACAACATTTATTCATAACAATATTTATAAATATATATGTGTATATTGCAATAAAACATTGAAAATAATAATTATTTAAAAAAACTTTTTCTACAAATTTTGTGGAGAATTCTATTCTCTATGAAATTGTTCATTACAATTTTTTTCATATTAACCATATTTTGCAAGATATTTGCAAAACAAAAAATCACCCCTTTTTTCAATATGGTGGAAAAAGTTACCACCCCCCGAGGTCGAAAACTCGGATTTAAGCATGGGAACTTATCCCCCTTCGATTAAAAAAAAATTTTTCTATGTTGGAATTAATATATAGTCTAAAGTTGATTTATATGTGTATGGTACAACGCGAGTGTACATAGTGTACACCCGGTATTGCGCAATCTGCAGCGTTCCGCACGCGTACCAAATTAATGAATCAAAAAAATGTTTAAATAAAAGTTGCTTATTTTTCTTGGTTCTTTAAGTTTTATTAGGGAAAATTTTTCATAATTTGCGTCAGGTTCGCTGAAATTGCAAAAATGCAATTTTCCACCCTCCAAATTAACAACATTTTTCAACATAACTTTGAAAATAATAATTTTTTTAAAAAATTTTCTGTACAAATATTGTAGATAATTTTATTCTCCATGAAATTGTTCATTACAATTTTTTTCATATTAACCATATTTTGCAAGATATTTGCAAAACAAAAAATCACCCCTTTTTTCAATATGGCGGAAAAAGTTACCACCCCCCGAGGTCGAAAACTCGGATTTAAGCATTGGAACTTATCCCCCTTCGATTAAAAAAAAAATTTTCTATGTTGGAATTAATGTTTTTAAACCCCCTTTTAAACGCCCCAGTGACTGGACTACATGAATACGTAAAGACTTACCGTCAAAGTTTCTTTCGTCCTTCATATATACAGCGCGACACATTCGCCACAAAGCTTTTTTTACTCTCCATTCCATTTTCTTCTCTTGAATCTGAAAGACAAAAAAAAAATTACTAACAAATATTAATTGTTTATTAATAGTATTAGGTTACAGATTAAACGATGTTTTCAATTTTTTCCGAATTATTTTAATAAAATGCGATTTTTTCGACTTTTTTTTTGTTTTACATTTTTTACAAAATTTTTAAACAAAATACGTCTTTTTTGGTATTCAATGAAGATCAACGAACCCATAGTAAAAAGATTTCTTTGAATCAAAAAAATCAATTTCTTTGATAAAGTTTTCTTTGAAACAAAGAAAATTTATTTGTTATCATAAACTGTTTTTCAATTACAAATTTTATAAAATTCAATAATTTTTCAAAATTTTAGAAAAAAAAATCAAATAAAATTACCCAAAAATTTCTGTTTTAATTCAAATAATTTAAAATTCAATTCTTTTCAAAAAAAAAATTTAATTTAAAAATCTGTAAAATTAATTATTGTCGGAAATTTTTTTGACCATTATAACTAAAAATTATACCAAAATTTTAAATGCAAATAAATTATGTTTAAATCAGAATTTTGAAAATTAAAGTAATTAGAATTTTGTCCATTTTTCTTAGTTCGATTCCGAAATCAGTTATACTCAATTATTATCAAATAAATATTTACTTGCATCAAATAATTATTATTTGAGTAAAAATTAAAAATATGCTATCAAATACAAATACAGAAATATAATTAAATTATTTGGTTCAAGTAAATATTTATTTGGTTTAAGTCAAGTAACCGATTATTTAGAATCAAATAAATTTTTTTTGTAGACACAGAAAATTATATAAGGTATTAAAATAATAACCGTTGCAGCTTATTTTAATGCCTTTTAATTTTCTGTGGAAGTAATAATAATAGAATAATAAAAGTGTGTAAATTTATGAAAAATAAAAATTTTTTTTAAGAAAAGGGGATAATTGTAATAAGTCAACGGATTATAAAAACAAAATATATATATATATCTATTTTCTTTTATATAGAGAGGGTCGATCATTGTCGTCATTTCATTAGAATATCGCCGATAAAAGGAGTTTAATTACAAAGGTATCATGATACGCTTCCTATATACATGCGTGCTGCACGCATATACTTTCTGTCTATATCTTTTCCCTTTAAAAAAAAAAACCTCTTTTTTTCCACCCCCATTCTCTATATTATCCAGTATAATATATATTCTACGCGTTCGTCGTCGACATTCGAGGTGATTAGTAAGGTCGTTTTCTTAATTACTCGCTGTATTGTAATGAGCAAAGAACTCATTATACCAACGCGATCATCCAAATAACAAGAGTCCATATAGGTGTGATATAAAACGCCTTGCAATTATGTATATTATACGCATATACTTTAAAAACAAAACCTCTAAAACAAAGCTCCGCACATACACTGAAAAAGAAAAATTATATTTTATTCAAATAATCGACTATTAACAAAATTAAATATTTACTTAAACCAAATAATTTTTATTTGAACTAAATAAACTTAATTTGAAACAAATACCGCATTTAATCGACTCAAATATAATAATTATATTTAATACCAATAAATAATTATTTGACTCAATAATTATTTAATACAAATATTTATTTTACTCTATAATTATTTAAAATAAAAAATTATTTGACTCAAATAATAATTATTTTATATATTATTTTTTTGATAATAGATCATGTAACAGATTATTTGAATCAAATAAATTTTTTTTTCATCCCAATTCGATAAGTTCATAGAAAATTGTCTAAAAATTTATGTTTTTATAAAATTATATAATTATAAAAATGCTTGGTCTGTCCTTCTCTCCTAACTTGAAGTTGGCCTTTTCTGATTTCACGTATTTTTTTGAATAGTAATCTTATGACGTGTCAAATTTTGACAATTCTTTTTCTCATTTTTGCCAAAGTTGTATAATTGTGTTTCCAAATTTCGGAATAAGTTTCTTTAAAATTCCAAATTCGAAAATTCAATTCACGAAGCTGATGTACACAACGTTTACCAACGAAATTTTTTTTAAAGTTGTATATTGATTCAAAAATTGTATACAAATACAAAAAATTTATAATGAGAAAAAAGATGCGCCAGGAAATTTCTAACAAGATAGTAATTTGAAAAAAATTTATTTTTAAAAATTAATTTTTAAGGTACCAGGGGCCAACGAATACCTATTAAATATTAATTATAAAAACACAGGCCTCGAATCAACTTAAAGACAGAAAAAGTCGTTTTAGTCGATTTATATTCCAAAAAAAAGTGGATTTGTTTTTTATTTTAACAAAAATATTTTACAGATTTTTAAATAAAAAAATTTTTTTTTTAATAATAATCCTTTTTGAAAGGTAAAAGTTGAAATTTTTAGAAATAATTAAATTTCAAAAGATATTGTTAATTTTCAAACAATTATTAAATTTTACAGAAGTAAAAATAATTTATCAAACAATTTTTGGGAAACATTTTTTAAATTTAATTGAATTTACAAAGATTTAAAATTGAGATTTTTGAAATTAATTGAAACTTTAAGTGTTTTGTAATTAAAATTTTAGATGATTTCACTAAAAAAATTTTAGAAAATGCGGACAAAATGCAATAATTTAAAAATCATTTTTAATTGAAAAATGGTTTCAGATAGTTGAATTTTCAAAGAATATTATTAAAATAGTTAAAAATAATTGAATTTCCTTAGAGTTATAATTGAAATTATTAAATTTCAAAAAAAAAATTTTCGATGGAAAATTTTAGAAATAATTAAATTTTAGATGCTTTTAAATTCAAATTATTGAAAATTCAATTAATTTTGAATTCAAATTTTTGAGAATAATGAAATTTAATTTTGATTTTAAATTTGGAAAATAATTGAATTTCAATTCATTTTGAATTGAAAATGTTGGGAAATAATTGAATTTTAATTGAAATTTTAGATAATAATTTAATTTAAGTTCATTTTTGATTGAAAATTTGGATAATTATTAATTTTGAATAGAAATTTTAGAAACTAATTGAATTTTATTTCATTTTAAATTGAAAACTTGGTAAATAATTAAATTTTAAATTGAAAATTTTGGATAATTATTGGATTTTTAATTGATTTTGAATTAAAATTTCGGGTAATAATTGAATTTTAGTTTATTTTGAATTGAAATTTTTAAAAAATAATTCAATTTTATTGTGATATTTTTTTTTTAAATTATAAACAATTGTTAAATTTCATAAAAATTTTAATTGAAAAATAATTTTGATATAATTGAATTTGTGATGTATTTCATTAAAATTATTATAAAAAAAATTAATTTAGTGAAGAATCATTTTAGTTCAAAATTTGTTAAAATTACATTTTCTTTTCAAATGTAAAAAAAAATGTCGCATTTTATTAAAATAAGTCGATAAAAGTCGTATTTTTGAAAGAAGTCGGAAAAAGTCGTTTAATCCGAGGCTTGTAAACATATAATTTTCATTATTATTATTATTTAATATGTAATAATATTCTAATAAATTAAATTATTATTGATAATATTAATCTTTAATTTCTTTATAACAAACAATTAAATATTTAATTTGGCGCGCTTGCACGCGTTTAATTTTACTAATTAATTTATAAAATAATAATTTTTTTTTTTATGAAAAACTTTATGAACTAATTTTTAAAAAGAATATTAAAAAAAAAATGTTTAAATATTTTTTGTCTCTTTGACAAGAATTAAAAGACACAGACATCATATAGACTGCGTGAATAATTTGTACGAGGTATACTTTAATGTGTCTGACTGAAAATATTACTAACAGTAAATTTTGAGAGAATTTATCGCGGCAGTTAGGTAATTAGGCATCGAATAAATATAGAGAGAATATAAAGCAAGTGCGCGAGCGTTCCAAAAAGCTCACTGGTATATAAGAGGAGACAGAAGCCGTTTATAATGTACAAGACACACAATTTGCAAAACTTCAATTACGAAAAACACATAGAATTCCACATTGGAAAAAAATAAAATTAAAAATTATTTTATTTAAAAAAAATTTAATTTCAAATAATTTATTATTACTTTATTTAATAATTTTAATTAAAAATTTAATTTAATTTAATTTAAATTATAAATAAAATTAATATTTAATTTAATTAAAATTGAAAAAAAAATTTTATTGTATAATAAATTTTTTTTTTCGAAAAGTAATTTTATTTTTATGTATAAATAAAAATAACTTTTAATAGTAAAACTGCATCTATAAAATTTTGATAATAAATCGATTATGGAAAATTTAATTTTTGTCACCCTAAAACAATCGCGTGCAAGAAATTAATCCACGTTCTCGCGCAATACTTCATCGCAAGGCATTAGGCTAATCGCTATATAGTATAGGCCACCCCAAACGTTTCTGCGTTAAGATCAATTTATTGCCCTCATCCGGGACTTAACGCTGACTTTGTCGTTGCATTATAGCTACAAAATCCATAGAGAGCTTCACCGTATAGTGTTTGCACGCGAGAAAACTATTTAAGCGACTCTCCATTACTTTCCTTCGTTTCAAATGCTATTTTAACATTTATGCGAAAATAGAGATTCGTTCTCAAACAAAATAAATCTTAAAAAAAAAAACTACAAACTTTTTTATCAAATATATTTTAATACCGATTTTTTTCTAATTTCAATAATAATTTATAACCATAAAATCACGATTGAATGTATATCACACATGGGGTTTAATAATTAAAGAAGTTAAAATTAAATTATAAAATGTTAGGGAATGGAAATTTCGAGTAAGATAAGAATTATTCATTGACATCAATGATCTACATAATTAACGTGATTGCTGAGAATAAATTAACTTCAGTCTAGATTGTGATATATGTAATTAAAATGTAAGGTGTACTTTTTTTTCTAAATGATTTCAATAATCATTCACTTTTTGTAAATAAATTATTCTACTTTGTGTATAAAATAAAAAATAATTTTAGAGGTTAGTTTTTTCAAATATCAATTAAAAGATATTGGTAAAAAATAGAAAAAGAAAATATTTATTTCTCACCAATTATTATATTTAGTTTCTTTTAATAATTACTCTTATCAATTAATTATAAGTTAAAAATACTCTTTTATCACAAAAATCACTGAGAAACAACTTTTTTCTGTAACTGTCGAAATGAAAATGAAAATATTTATATATATCACTCTGAAGTTAGAAACAAATAATTTTTTTTCAAAAGTATTAACCAACTTGAGGCGGGAATCATATTTTACTTATAATTTTCATTATCTATTATTAATAATCGATGTATTGTTTATTACTAACTTTATTTAATAATTATTTAAAATAAAAATTAATATGGTATTCCAATTGTATAAAGAATATAGAATTAATTTTGAAATCTTCCTTACCGGCCAACAGAAATTCAAATGTAACTGCCGATAGAGGCGACAGTGTCGCAGATCAGCAGTGTTAAGATGGCGACGCCCAGTGAGTTGTCTTTGGAAGAAATACGCAAATATTTATTGGAAAACGGTGGTTCAGTGCGAAATCATGATCTTGTGAAATATTTTAAGAAGTTTTTAACAGATCCCGAAACACGAGGTAGGTTAAATATCAATGTTACGGGAGTTATAATGTGTAAATTGTGTGTATGGTGACCTGTGTCCTGCTATACAATGTGAACAAACATGACTAATATTTAGTTCAAACATTATCTCATCGTTAAATCAACCCTTTTTTTTTTGTTTATTTTCCAGTTGAGGCACGAAATAGATTCAAGGAATATGTCAATATTTTGGCCACAATCAAAAATGAGGAGGTAAGTCTCTTTAAAATAAGTGTGATGCGCTGTTTATTTTCCTTCGTGACAGGAACGACTTGTTGCTTAAAAGTCACATTGTTGCCAAATCTCCGACAAAGTTTTAAAAACATCAAAATAATTTGATTTCAATTAAACAAAAACGAAATATAACAATTAATGATAAATTTTAGTTTATTCGGTTAATCTGGAATATTTTCGTATTATATAGTGATTACGTGACTATTTGAATTAAAAAAAGAAACATTTAAAAAAAACGGACGTGAGATAATTGCTTTTGTGTTTTTATTTTTCATACGAAGGAGGAAGTACTAAAATGTTAAATAATTGAATTCTTTAATTTGATAATACTAACATAACCTCACACTAAAAAAATTTACAAAAACGCTGGAAAATAAATAATACGAATTAGAAATGAAAAATTTAATAATTTTTCAGGAAAAAATTATTTTTGTATTTAATTTTTATTTCTTTTACTAAAAATTAAATGTTTAGTTTATAAATTGTATTTTTATTCTATTAATCGAAAAGCTAATTAATTTTCAAAATCACTTCTAATAATAAGAAAAGTTTTTTTTTTAATTGTTTATAAATCCAGCGAAATTTGTTTTGTTTTTTTTTTTTCTGTAGGGTGAAAAGTATTTGATGTTGAAGAAAAAATATCGTCAAACATCATTAGATCTTTCATCGCCAAGTTTTAGTTTTGGTATTTCGCCAACTTCACCAGTGAGAACACCTGAGGTTGCAACTCCTGTTTCTCCTCTTCGTGAACCACCACCTTATCGTCCTCCACCTCCTGCTCCTTTGAGTCCTGCAAGTTACACAACATCGCCTGTTTCTCGTTATCAAAATGAATTTTCCGATGAAGCAACTGGTGGTATTTTCCATAATCAATTGGAGAGAAATACAAAAGAAACAAGTGCCTTTAAACAATTTACTGATGAATCACCTGATCTTCCAACATCACCTCCTGTACCACCGAGACGCAAAAGTCAAGATAAAGTCAAAGTTGAAAACAAAGAAAACGTCAGTGTTGAAAAGCCGAAAACTGTTGCGGAAATCATCATAAAAGTGAGTTTTTTTTTTTATTTAAATATATACATTTTTCAATGTTTCTAAATTTTTGAACAAAATTTAGGTTTTTAAATTTTATTACATAAACTTTTAATTTTATATTATTTTATTATGTAAATATAAAATATATATTATTTTATCTTTATATATATACATCCAGAGAAATATTTTATTTGAGAAAAATTAAAATTTATTTAATTTACAGGCCTCGGATTATACTTTTTTCGACTTATTTTAATAAAATTCGACTTTTTCGACTTAAAATTGTTTTTTTTCACAACATTTTTAAACAAAATGTGTTTTTTTAGTATAAAATGCAGATCTTCTTTATTTCAATTATTTAACAAATTTTTAACTAAAATTCTCCAGTAAATTAATTATTTTTTAATAATTTTAATGAAATTCTTTACAAATTCAATTATTTTAAACTATTTTTCAATTAAAATTCTTATGAAATTTAATAATTGTCTATAATTAAAAAAAAAATTAGCAAATAAAATTACCAAAGATTTTTACTTTAAAATCACTTAAAACTTAATTATTTGCAAAATTTTCAATTATTTTTTTATGATTTTTATAATATTCTTCGAAACTTCAATTATTTAAAAGCATTTTTGAATTAAGAACTTTTGGAATTCAATTTTTTATATACACTGAAAAAAAATTTATTTGATTCAAATACCGGTGTATTTAGTTATTATCAAATAATTGTCTGAAAATTAACTAAATCTTTTGAAATTCAATTATTTCTAAAAAAATTTCAACTTTAACTCTTTCAAAATTATTATTATTTAAAAAAAAAAAATTATTTAAAAATCTGTAAAACCTGATTAAGTATTGCCTGAAATTTTTTTGAGCATCAAAACTAAAAACTATGACAAAATTTTTAATTCGAATAAATTGCTTAAATCAGACTTAAAAAAATTGTAAAAATGGAACATTAAGAATTTTTTTCTTTGTTCTACTTAAATAAAATTTTGATTTGTCTTACAATTAGTTCGATTTTGAAGTATTCGAAATAAATTTTCTTAATAATATTCATTATAGAATTATTCTCATTACAGAATTAATAAAATAAATTTAATATCTAATAACATTAGTTATTTAAAGTAAAATATTTATTAATCAATTAAATTTTGTTAAAATAAAAAAAAATCGACTTCAACGACTTATTTTGTGTCTTAAAGTCTATCCGAGGCCTGAATTTAAATAAAAACAATTAATAATTTTATTTAGCACAAACAAAACTTTATTTGAGCCAAATCAAATTTGTATTTAAACCAAATAAAATTTATTTTAACCAAATAAAATTTATTTAAACCAAATAAAATTTATTTTAACCAAATAAAATGTATTTTAACCAAATAAATATTTGTCTCTGACACAAAAATATAATTTCTCTGGATGTAGTGTGAATTAATATTCTTTTAGTCTTTAAAATTTTTTTTTATTAAAGTATAATTAAAAAGAGGTTCAAAACTTTAGAAATAATCATTTTTCATGCCTTTTTTAAAAAGCAAAAAGCATGTCATTATTTTTGTTGATAATTATAATATAATGTATACATAATCTACACACACATTTCTTGTGGGACTTTAATTGACTTGCACTTTCTAATTCGCTAATCCACTTATTGGTTTAACTCTCGATCGTCAAATTGTCATCTTCTGCATATTTTTTCTACTTTTATTACTTATAATAGAAGGCAAAATATCTCTACTAACTCTATTCGTAAGGTTAAATATTTTCAATTCGATTCTATATATGGTGTTAGATTTCATTTTTTAATTCTCTGGTATTCCTATATTTGCGTTTCTTGTATAAATTTGGTGTATGGGGAAAATTTACGTGTTTTATCTTGTGGTTCGTTCCTCTATTTGTGGAAAAAAAAAAATTGTAGTTTAAAATAGCAAAGAAAAAAATTTATTGAAAAAAAATAGGAAGACGAGATTCCAGCGACAACACAATCATCAGCTGAACAACTCAGTGTCCGTGAGCGGATGCAACGGTTCAATCGAATGGCTACCGAGACTGATCTTAACTCATCTCGTCCTACTAGTGGATCTACACCACCCATTAAGAAACGTTCCGATAAGGTAATTTTAAATATTAAATCATTTATCAAATTGGGAGAAAAATTCTTCAATCAAGAATTTTATAAAAATTTTATAAATTTACTTTTATAAAAGAATATAATTAATAAGAAATTCTTATTAGCTTTATTATAGGTTTTTGTTTTTGAAATAATTACTTTCACGCCCATCAAAAACTCTTCATTATTCTATTCAAATTACACAATTTCATTCCAATTAAAAATCTTTTGTATATAAACGATGATTGCTATTAATAACATCTTGGAACAACTCTCGCAATGTTGGTTCTCTCTCTCTCTTTTTTTTTTCTCTCGGTAAGAAAGGATGCGGTGGTCTGGAAGGTCATCTTGCATACCGAATGGACTACTAGGAATATCACCTGGCGGTCATTTACCTCATGCGTATTGCATACACCCACTATTTCTATCTTTAACTTCTCTTTCTCTCTTTCAATCTTTTTTTTTTATTTCTCTCTCTCTCTCTCGCATCCCTTTTCCTTTCTTCCCCCATGATTCTCTCTTTCTTTCTGAAAGACCGTTTATCGCAACGGGCAATATTCATTGCATTTGAATATCCTGCGGGCGATATCGCGCGTACTGATCAGGATGTCGCAAGGATATTGCTGTAAATCATAATTAGCCAGATACGAAATTAAAAACGTTGAGAATTCATTTCCTTGCTCTCTCTTTCTCTCTTCCACATAAACTTTTAAAATATACACCCAGAGAAAAGATATATTTGTCTCAGCACCAACTACACTGAAAAAAAAAAAATTTATTTGATTCAAATAATTAATTGACTATTATCAAATAAATATTTATTTGTATGAAATAATTATTATTATTTGAGTCTATTAAATGGTATTTGTTTCAAATACAGAAATTATTAGTTCAAATACAATTTATTTAATTCAAATAAAAATTATTTGATACAAATAAATATTTTTATTTGATAATAGTCAAGTAATCAAGTATTTGAATCAAATAAATTTTTTTTTCAGTGTAGACTTTTCTTATTTGTTTGAAATAAATTTTATTTGGTTTAAATAAAATTTTATTTGTTTGAAATAAATTTTATTTGTTTTAAATAAAATTTTATTTGTTTGAAATAAAATTTTATTTGATTTAAATAAAATTTGATTTGGCTCAAACAAAATTTTATTTTGCTCAAATATATATATTTTATTTATGTTGAATAAAATTTTTATATTTAAAACAAATAAAAAGTCTTGAGACAAATATACGTTTTATTTAATTCAAATATATTTTATTTGGTTCAAATAAATAATTTCTCCGGTTGTATATTTACGATCTTTGACTATAAAACACATATATTCTTTTGGAAATTTTTGTGATTAAACTCTCTTTTTTTTATAATACGTTCCGCCGGAAGGAAATTCATTTACATACATTATTTATGTTTTCTAAAAAAAAAAAAAAAAATTTACATTTTATTGATCATGAGAAATATTCGAAAAAAAGAAAAATTCTTTTTTTCGAAGAGAATATTTACAAAATATATATATATACACAAATCTACATTGTATTTCATTTCATATATATGTATATAAATATATAAAAGTTTCAAAGAAACAGTTTAGTGAAATTACATTTTAGTATATTGGTAAATTGATGGTAGGAAAAAAAATTTTTCTTTTTTTTTTGGTGAATATTTTTTCGAATCACGCAAAGATATCCCTCTGGCTGTTTTAAATTTTAAAGTTTGAGATTTATATTCTTCTTTTTTTTTTTGTATTTCTTCTTTTTCCTTTTTTATTTCTTTGAGGCGCGAGTCTCGCTCTACGGACATCCTGTAATCTCCCGTGAATTCTCTGACTTCTATACAGTGTAGTTTCGCTCGTTTCTTCATCTTTTAATAATTAGCATGCTGAGTAGTCACGTCATATAGCATTGTATGCATAGCCAATGAATAACGTCTTTGAGTCGCGTGCCAATGTTGTATATTTATATCAATTGAGACACTTCATGCTAGGATTTTGATAATTTTACTAATTTGAAAAGAATTTTTTTGAAAATGCTCTTCTTGAAAAATTATTATTATTATTTTTATTTTATTTTATATTTTATTTTATATTACTTTTTTTTATATTTTTGAAATTAAAATTTTGCCTCATGTAAACACACCCAGAGAAATGATTTATTTGAACCAAATAAAATATATTTGAGTTAAATAAACGTACCTATATTTGTCCCACAGCCTACTAACTTATTTATTTGGCGTAAATAAAAATTTTATATGTCATAAGAAAAAATTTTTTGGCGTAAATAAAAATTTTATATGTCATAAAAAAAAATTTTTTGGCTCAAATAAATTTTTTATTTAAATGAAATAAAATATATTTACAACAAATAAATGAGTTAGTAGACTCAGAGACAAATATACTTAATTTCTCTGAGTACAAAGATAAAATTTACTAAAAAAAAAAATTAATAAAGTTTAAAAAAAAAAAATTACAATTACAATAATATTATTAATTACTAAATTATTATTTTATTATTATTAAATATTATTAATTATAATATAAATAATAATATTGGAAAAATAATAAAACTTAATATATTACAATTGTATTTTCGGGTTAATTTATCCATTTGTAAGCAACGTGTTGCTTTGTATTCTATTTCTTCCTTCCTCTTTCTTTATACATATATATATATATATACTCTTTCTGTCTCTCACGTTTATGGAAATGTGCACAGAGAATACGGGCGTTAAAGTGGAGCATTAAAGAATATTACTGGAAAATTATTTAAAAACCATATTTGACGTGACAATATTAATTCAGAATTAATTATAATCTTCTACTAAACAGTGAAAAAAAATTTATTTGATTCAAATAATCGATTACTTGACTATTATCAAATAAATACTTATTTAGATATTTATTTGAATTAAATATTATTTGTTTCAAATAGAGAAATTATTGGTCCAAATACAGTTTATTTAATTCAAATAAAAATTATTTGGTGTAAGTAAATATTTATTTGGTACTAGTTAAGTAACTGATTGTTTGAATCAAATAAATTTTTTTCAGTGTAAATTTTCGCAAAAAACCTTTTTATTTAGATCAGTATTTTCTGTAAGGGAGGGGGAAAAAGTTTTGTTTAAAATATATACCTTAATAATTTTTTTTTCTCTTAAATAATGAAATAAAATTTTTTTTCAATATCAGTTTTGGTAACTTCTTTTACGCCCGTTTAATTGGTCAAATGTATTTTTGCAAAAAAAAATTTTGAACCAAAAAAATGAAAATTAAACATTTTTACTTTTTTTTGAAAAAAGACTCAGGCCTCGGATTATACGACTTTTTCGACTATTTTCGACTTTTTTCGATTTATTTTAATAAAATGCGACTATTTCGACTTTTTTTTTACATTTTTTAAACAAATTTTTAAATAGAATATAATTTTTTTAGTATAAAATGTAGATCTTCTTCAGATCTTCTTTATTACAATTATTTAACAAATTTTTAACTAAAATTCTTCACTAAATTAATTATTTTTAATAATTTTAATTAATTTTTTAAATTTTTTTCATCACAAATTCAATTATTTCAAATTACTTTTCATATAAAATTTTTATGAAATTTAACAATTGTTTATAATTTTAAAAAAATATCAAATAAAATTACCAAAAATTTTTAATTCAAAATCAAATAAAGTTCAATAATTATTCAAAATTTCAATTTAAAATTAATTATTATCAAAATTTTCAACCAAAAATCAACTAAAATTAAATTATTATTCAAAATTTCAATTGAAATTCAATTATTTTCAAAAATTTGAATTTAAAAGCTTCTAAAATTTTCTATGGAAAAATTTTTGAAATTTATTAATTTCAATTAATAACTCTCCGGTAATTTAAGTATTTTTATAATATTCTTTAAAAATTCAACTTTGTGAAACCATTTTGCAATTAAAATTCAATTATTTTCAAAAATTTGAATTTAAAAGCTTCTAAATTTTAATTAATTCTAAAATTTTTCATCGAAAATTTTTTGAAATTTAATAATTTCAATTATAACTCTATGGAAATCTGAAACCATTTTTCAATTAAAAATGGGTTTCAAATTTTTTCATTTTTGTCCGCAATTTCTAATCAATTTTTTAGTGAAATCATCAAAAATTGTTAATTAAAAATCACTTGAAGTTCAATCAAATTTTAAAAATCTCAATTGTAAATCTTTGAAAATTCAATTACATTTAAAAAATGTTATCTGAAATTATTTGATAAATTATTTTTAGTTTTGTAAAATTTAATTATTGTCTGAAAATTAACAAAATCTTTTAAAATTCAATTATTTCTGAAAATTTCAACTTTACACCCTTCCAAAAGTATTATTATTTTTAAAAAAATTTGATTTAAAAATCTGTAAAATATTTTTGTTAAAATAAAAAAAATCGACTTTTTCGACTTTTTTTGGAATATAAATTGACTAAAACGACATTTTTGTGCCTTTAAGTCGATCCGAGGACTGAAGACTGTATTTTTTGTTGTCTGATTGTCCGTTTTTTTTAAATATAAGCTGAGATTTTTTTCTATAGAGAGATAAAAAAATAATTATAGATATATAAAAATTAATAATATTTTTCTTAAAAAAAAGATTTTTATATATTGTAATGATTTCAGTTTCTATAATGAAAAAAATAATTTGTTTGATTTGACTTTTATTAAATTTCAAATAATAATAATAATTATTTAATAAAAATAAATATTTAGTTGATTATAATAAAGTAACGGATTATTTGAATGAAATAAATTTTTTCTCAGTGTGAATAGAGAGTGTCGATTATGTAATTTGATTTGATTCTGACGTCAAATTCAAATTTATTTCGACGTCAAAGTCAAATTTAATTCGAGAAATTCATTTGTTGATTTGATTGTGACTTCAAATTTATTTTTTTATTTTGACGTCGAAATAAATTTGAATTTGACGTCAAAATCAAATAAAAAAAATGAATTTTTCGAATTAAATTTGAAAT